CGTAAGCTTTCTGCCCTCGGACACGACCGGATTGGTTAAGCCCGGTGGCTTGGAGCCCAGCATTTCCCGTCTCACGTGAGAACCAGCGCTTGAAATCAAACCACAAATCCAAATCACCAGGGGAAGTTATCTGAACGGGTGGGACTTGAGTAAACCTGGCAGGATCCATCATTGTCGCTTCCCTTCAAGAGCGGTACCCGATCGGTTTTGACGACTTCACATGGTGCTTCGCTGTGTATCATAGCTATGTTGATTTACTCCACCTTAATCATATGTGTATGTGGGTGCGTGTTTTTTTCCCTCTGTTTTGCTTCCACGTCGAGGCATGCGTGCTGGTCCTTCGAGAGCCTCCGTCTCGAGAACAATCAATGGGTGTCCTCATCCAGAGCAATTCGACCCTATTCGGGGGAGCTCGAGGACATCCAACTGTCTCCTTTGAGGGTCCCTATCATTTGTCAACCAAACACCAGCCGCAGCTGGTTATCTTTGTTGCATACCACTGATATCCGCACATCAAACCGAGAAGTGCTGCATGCTCTGTATGGCTCGTCCTGGACAATAGCCGTGACAAAAATACATCAGCTGGCTGGCGTTCCGTTCCATAGTATGGAAAAAACATGCTCGACTCATTTGATGCAGGAGTAAATTCCCACAAAGGATTCGAGGCACAGGGGAACGCAACAAGCACCTGGTCACACGATGTGTATCAGCTTTCCCGCATAGCTGGAGCTCGGATGCATCTTTGACCGGCAACCATCGACATGATCATCTGCTTGCGCAATCGATTACCGCGCTACTCCAATCTCATATGATCTTCAAAACCCTCCCCTAAACTGAAAATCATACTGAATGCAGCGAATATATCTCCGGATCATGCCCCCATTTGCATCCCCCCATGAGGCCCCAGCACTGATGATGAGCTGGGCTGCGCGGGCAAGGCTTGCGAATGGTCGCACAAAACTTCCGCTCGTTTCGGAGTGGAGCTAAACCGGCGCTGCAACACGCGGGAGCGATTGAGTGACATGAAGTGACGAGGCCAGAACATCAAGTCTGACCGCATGTTTCCCTTGAGTCAAATCATGAAACTAGAAAAGGCCCGGCCGAATTGCTATGCTCCTGGCACATTTCAACATTTCAACAATGGGGCATGCAGCAGCTTGATTGTCTGCGATTCACCTCTGGCAAGCAGGACATCGGACACATCTAAGGTTTTCCGTCTGACGCATCCTTTCCCAGCACCAGCCTTCTTCCTTCTGTGGTCTTTGGGCAGCCTGACACGTTGAGCCAACAGCAGTGTACTTGGGCTCGCAGTCCAACTTGACTTGCGCCACTGCGTATGACCTCTGTCTGTCTTTTACCCTGCTTGGGCCTATGTTTAAATGGAAATCAAAGGAAGGACACAAAATGTTGATGGCCCCCTACTTTCAAACACACAAAACAAAAAGTTTGCTCGAAAACACTCGCGGAGTTGGCTCCGCGCCTGTGAACTCTTTGGCCCATGCGGTGGCACCTCACGCCCCCCCGTAAGCTGGCAGTTGGGCGGCATCTCGCAGTACCCCGCTATGTGTGTGTGTGTGTTGTGCTTGTGCATTTGTTTGTGCGTGTTGTATTTGTGTTGCGTGTGTGTGTGTGCGCTGTGTGTGTATTGCTTTCTTTGCTGTGGTGTTGTGTGGTGTTTGTGCTTTTGTGTGGTGTTTGTGCGTTTGTGTGTGCGTGTTGTATTTGTGTTGTGTGTGTGGGTGTGCGTTGTGTGTGTGGATTTGCTTGTGTGGTGTTTGTGTGATGTTTGTGTGATGTTTGTGTGATGTTTGTATGGTGTTTGTGTGGTGTGCGTTTGGGTGCGCGGTGTTTGTGTGGTGTTTGTGTGGTGTTTGTGTGGTGTTTGTGTGGTGTTTGTGTGGTGTTTGTGTGGTGTTTGTGTGGTGTTTGTGTGGTGTTTGTGTGGTGTTTGTGTGGTGTTTGTGTGGTGTTTGTGTGGTGTTTGTGTGGTGTTTGTGTGCTCTTGTGTCGGTGTGTGTGTGTGTGTGCTTGTGCGTTTTTGGGGTTTTGTTTGTGTGTGTGCGCTTGCGTGTTTGTGTGTGTGTGTGTGTGTTGTTCTGTGTTGTGTATGTGTATGCGTATGCGTATGCGTATGTGTATCTGTATGTGTGTGTGTGTGTATGTGTATGTGTATGTGTATGTGTATGTGTTGCGTGTGTGTCTGTGTGTGTGTATGTGTTGCGTGTGTGTTGAGTGTGTGTTGCGTGTGTTTGTGTGTGTGTGTGTGTGTGGGTGGGTGGGTGGGTGGGTGGGTGGGTGGGTGGGTGGGTGGGTGGGTGGGTGGGTGGCTGGGTGGGTGGGTGGGTGGGTGGGTGGGTGTGCGTGCGTGCGTGTTTGTGTGGTTTGTCGTATTGTTGCAGTGTGTGTGTGTGTGTGTGGTATGTGTGTGTGGTATGTGTGTGTGGTACTTGTGTGCTTTTCTATCGCTTTGTGTGGTGTTTGCGTGCTTTTGGGTCGGTTTGTGTGTGCTAGTGTGGTGTTTGCGTGGTGTTTGCGTGGTGTTTGTGTGGTGTTTGTGCGGTGTTTGTGTGGTGTTTGTGTGGTGTTTGTGTGGTGTTTGTGTGGTGTTTGTGTGGTGTTTGTGTGGTGTTTGTGTGGTGTTTGTGTGTTTGTGTGGTGTTTGTGTGGTGTTTGTGTGTTGTTTGTGTGGTGTTGTGTGGTGTTTGTGTGGTGTTTTTGTGTTGTGTTGTGTGAGTGTGCTTTTGTGTCAGTTTGTGTGTGTGTGCGGTTGTGCTTGTATGAAGTGCACAATGTTTGTTTTATATTTGTGTGTGTGTGATGTTTTTGGTGTTTGAGTATTTGTCTGGTGTTTGTGTTGTGTTTGTGGTTGTTGCGTGTTGTTTGTGTGGTGTTTGTGTGGTGTTTGTCTGGTGTTTGTGCGGACTTTGTGTGGTGTTTTGTCGTCTTTGTGTGGTGTTTGTGTGGTGCTTTTGTGGTGTTTGTGTGGTGTTGTCTGTGTATTGTTGGTGTTTGGAGTTTGTCTGGTGTTTGTGTGGTGTTTGTGTGGTGTTTGTGTGGTGTTTGTGTGGTGTTTGTCTGGTGTTTGTGTGGTGTGTGTGTCGTTTGTGTTGTTTGTGTCTTGTTTTGTGTTTGCGTGGCGTTTGTCTGGTGTTTGTGTGGTGTTTGTGTGGTGTTTGTGTGGTGTTTGTGTGATGTTTGTGTATTGTGTGTGTGGACTGTATCTGGTGTTTGTGTGGGGGTTGTCTGGTGTGTTTGTGGTGTTTGTGGTGTTTGTGTGCTTTTGTGTGCTTTTGTGTTGCTTTTGTCTATTTGTGTTTGTGTGTTTGCGTGGTGTTTGTCTGGTGCTTGTTTTGTGTGTGTGTGTGTGTGTGTGTGTTTGTGTTCTGTTTGTGTGGTGTTGGTGTGATGTTTGTGTGGCGTTTGGGCGGTGCCTGTGTTGCGTGTTCGTGGGATTGTGTGGTAAAGTTAGATGTTTGGTGGCCGGCATGCTAAGAAAACCAGGCCCAGAAAGAGACAAAAAGAGCGAGAAAAGGATTGAAAGAGAATCCACAAAAGGAGAAACTAGGCAAAGAGAGAAAGACCAAAAGAAAGAAAGAAAGAAAGAAAGAAAGAAAGAAAGAAAGAGAGAAAGAAAGAAAGAAGAACGAAATAAAGAAACTGGACAAAGAGAGAAAGAGAGAAAGAACGAAGCACAATAAGAGACAAAAGGAGACAAAAAGAAACAAAAAGAGACATAAAGGGACAAGGAGAGACAAAAGGGGACAAGGAGAGACAAAAAGGGACAAGGAGAGACAAAAGGAGACAAAAGGAGACAAAGAGACAAAGAGAGACAACGAGAGACAAAGAGGGGGAGAGAGAGAGGGAGAGGAAGAGAGAGAAAAATGACCCAACGACCCACCGCCCAAGCGGAAAGCAAGTAAATATGACTGTACAAGCAGCAGGTCAGTCGGCTCTGAACTGGCGGCTCTCTGACTTCAACATTGGTTCGGTTTTTCTTCCTAAGACATGTTGCACCCGACAAAATGCTCACACTCGTCGGAGCCACTGACTGCATGACTGGGAGCTCAGCTTTTTGTACCAAAATCCGTGTGGGCTGGGGCTGCCGGTCCTAAGCAACCAGAAAATCGTCAAACCTCTCTTTGTCTCTCTTTGTCTCACTCTGTCTCGCTCACACTCTCTGGCTCTCTCTCCCTCTCGCTGGAGAGTTGAAGCCATCTGCTGGCATGAAAATTCCGCGGCATCGCATACACTGGGTGGACTTCCAACTCGTCACTCGCACAGTTACATTCTTAAGTGCCACACATCAACCATTTCTGGCTCCTGAAGAGCAGGTTGCAAGCAGAGGTCATCCAATGTGGATGCGTCTCAAAATCAGGAACACCTTCAGATACTTGGATTATCTTTGGCTTCTCAAAACAATTCAATCAAAACAGCCAGCCAGCTCACCTGGCTCAAGAAGAACCACAAACTGGCAGTCTCAGTGTAGTGGGAATGCAAAGCAAGTCAAATAGCAGCAATTGAAACCTCGAAGTAGCCAATTTCCTTGCATGACTTGGGGAGGTCTCTCCAGACGTGAGTTCTCCCGTTTTCCAAAATTGGAGACCCATGCAGTTGACTGGCTTCAGTTTGGGCTTTTTGGTTTCCCTTTAAGTCCACCCTAGAAAAGGACCCTCCAAAGAAAACGCTGACCCAAACCCCGCCACAGCTGTCCTCCGGGGAGCCTCTGCTTTCACCCTCCGAGGAATCCTGGCGCATTGAGACGACAAGGCGAAACAACAGCTTCGGTCATGCCTGAAGCCGAGGGAATGAACACGTGGTGCAACAAATTGGAGCCGCGCAAGCCAAACAAAATCCGGAAGAAAGGTGCACAATTTGCCCGTATGTCCCGAAGGCAAATTCGCCGAACCCCGACCTTCCGGCTCAACGTCATTGGCAGAGAGATACGTCGGATCCTCAGCGGTCAAAAGTGCAACACGGGGATCGGCGTGGGCGGGACCTCAAAATGGTGGTGTCAACTTGTTTCGTTTCTCTTTAAACCAATCCCAAAACACGGGACCCTTGACAGAACAGGCCCAAATAGAGCCCTGGCGCTGGCAATGTAAAAGCAACTAAGCTAAGAATGGGAATTGAATACTACTACTTAGCATAATGATAATGATTTATAGAACAAACAAAGATAATACCAACAATGACAATATCAACAATGATAGTACCAACAATGATGAGCGGTGATCATAGCCTCTCCAGCTCTTGCGCATGCAACAGTTCTGAAGCACTTCCAGCCCAAGGAAGTGCCCACCGCACTCAATGGTGACTTCCTCAGGGCCCGGCTGTTCCATCATGAGTCGCCGCTGCCTAGAGTCAGCCAGAGCCTCCCCGGGACACTCGAGTCCAAATGGAGACGCCAACCCGCGCAAGAAAGCGTCAGTTTCCAGGTGGTTGCTTCTGAGAAGTAGCAAAACTGGCCCTCACCTCACCCTGTCCAGACATGTGGCTGGGGCTCAAAAAACCGGTACCAAAACGGAACCCTGGTAAGTGGAAACATGGACCAATACCTGCGTAACCCCTCCTATTTAATTTTGAGCCACACCCATGTGTCACTGTGTCACCCACTGCAACCAGCACTGGACACCTCTCAGGTCTGTACTCCAGCGGGATCAGCATGAGCTGCCTGAGCGTGCAAGTAGCGCAGCTTCAAAAAAGCAAAAGCCTTCCAGTTGGAATCCATGGGCCACGATCCAGAGGAGACGACGCCAAATTCACAACTAAAAAAGAAAACCAAGCCACAACCAAAAAAAGAGACAAGCGCCAGTAAAAAAAAAGACCTACCCCGACTAACTCAGGAAGGCTATTAATTGTCATGTCATGTCACAACTCTAAATTTTGCAAACCCTCACAACATATAGATCGTCAAAGCGAAACCGACGGGCCAGCGATGTTTTAGAGCACTGATCCTGCGTCCGGTCGCAGTTGGCAGAAATGCTAGCGGCTGCTCTGAGGCAGGAACCGAAGCACAAAATCACCGACTTCGGATGTTTGAGCTGACATGGGGAATCCGGAACCTGCCTTTGCTGGATGGTCTGGAAAATCGACCCCCTTAACATTTTGCATTTTCCCGACTCCCCCCTCCCCGACCGAAACGGAAGTGGTTTTCGGCAAAAAGCCACGTCCGTTTGGCCAACCCCCTCCCCCGCACCTATTCCCGACTCCCGATTCCCCGCCGAAACGGACTGTCCTGCTCATGTGCTCATATTACCAAAGCAGACGTGGTTTTCGGCAAAGTGCCAAAACCCACGCCTGCTCATGTGCTCGTATTCCCACCCCCGCCCCCCGATCCCCCGACCGAAACGGACGTGGCTTCAGCATTTTGACATCTCAGGGTGCAAAAATTGGCATCTCCCTTCCCGCATGTACTTTCCCCCCTCGTCACCCGCGGTGATTTGATGACGTTCCTGGCTCGTAGACAAAATCCTTTCATACGGTTGGGAGGAACCGAGGGAGGAGGGAGAGAGAGGCAGAAAAAGAGAGAGAGAGAAAGAGAGAAAAAGAGAGAAAAAGATGTCAAACTACATGCTTCACTTCCTGCATTTGTGTTGCATGTACGTTCACTACTGCGGGCCTTGAGCTCACTACATCGCATGAGTCAAAGGGTTGTCACTGCAGACTACATTGGTTGACTGTTCGTTTGAACACTACAGCACTTGCACTTGTAAGTAAAAGTAGCAACCGATTTTAACACGAGAGAGAGAGAGAGAGAGAGAGAGAGAGAGAGAGAGAGAGAGCGAGCAAGGGGTGGAGGGAGGGAGAGGAGCCGAAGTTCGCGCATGAAGGGCCCTCGGAATCGAGCCCACAATTTGTGACACGTCAAGCCTGACGCTAACCAACTACACCAATGGGCCCCTGCCTCCACGAGACAAAGCGGCTTCCATCGGTCCAAAGTCAGCGTTTCAGCGAGGTTCTTCTTTGGCGTTTTCCCGACTCGCCCCCCTCATTCCCCGACCGAAACAGATTTTGGCATTTTGACATCTCAAAATGCCAAACCGCCCCATCCCCCGACCGAAACGGACGTGGTTTTCTGCATTTTGACATCTCAAAGTGCCAAAAACCACGTCCGTTTGGCCACCTCCCTCCCCCACACCTGTCCTGCTCATGTGCTCATATTCCCGACTCCCCCCCAATTCCCCGACCAAAACGGACGTGGTTTTCCAAAAAACCACGTGCGTTTGACCACACCCCCCCCCCACACCTACTCCCGACTCCCGATTCCCCGAAAGAAGAGGACGTGGTTTTCGGCATTTTGACATCTCAAAGTGCCAAAAACCACGTCCGTTTGGCCACCTCCCTCCCCCACACCTGTCCTGCTCATGCGCTCATATTCCCGACTCCCCCCCAATTCCCCGACCAAAAAAAACACGTGCGTTTGGCCACCTCCATCCCCCGCACCTACTCCCGCCCAGCTCATGCGCTCATATTCCCGACTCCCCGACCGAAACAGACGTGGTTTTCCAAAAACCACGTGCGTTTGGCCACACCCCCCCCACACGTATTCCCGACTCCCGATTCCCCGAAGCGGACGTGGTTTTCGGCATTTTGACATCTCAAAGTGCCAAAAACCACGTCCGTTTGGCCACCTCCTGCTCATGCGCTCATATTCCCGACTCCCCCCCAATTCCCCGACCGAAACGGACGTGGTCTTCCAAAAAACCACGTGCGCTTGGCCACCTCCATCCCCCGCACCAACTCCCGACTCCCGATCCCCCGGCCGAAACGGACGTGGTTTTCGGCATTTTGACATCTCAAAGTGCCAAAAACCACGTCCGTTTGGCCACCTCGCTCCCCCACACCTGTCCTGCTCATGTGCTCATATTCCCGACTCCACCCCAATTCCCCGACCGAAACGGACGTGGTTTTCGGCATTTTGACATCTCAAAGTGCAAAAAACCACGTCTATTTTGACATCTCAAAATGTTAAAAACCACGTCCGTTTGGCCACCTCCCTCCCCCACACCTGTCCTGCTCATGCGCTCATATTCCCGACTCCCCCCCCATTCAACAGACGTGGTTTTCCCAAAACCACGTGCGTTTGGCCACACCCCCCCCACACCTATTCCCGACTCCCGATCCCCCGACCGAAGCGGACGTGGTTTTCGGCATTTTGACATCTCAAAGTGCCAAAAACCACGTCCGTTTGGCCACCTCCCTCCCCCACACCTGTCCTGCTCATGTGCTCATATTCCCGACTCCACCCCAATTCCCCGACCGAAACGGACGTGGTTTTCGGCATTTTGACATCTCAAAGTGCAAAAAACCACGTCTATTTTGACATCTCAAAATGTTAAAAAGTTTGGCCACCTCCCTCCCCCACACCTGTCCTGCTCATGTGCTCTCATATTCCCGACTCCCCCCCCCATTCCCCGACCGAAACAGACGTGGTTTTCCAAAAACCACGTTCGTTTGGCCACACCCCCCCCCCCACACCTACTCCCGGCTCCCGATTCCCCAGCCAAAACGGACGTGGTTTTCGGCATTTTGACATCTCAAAGTGCAAAAAACCACGTCTGTTTGGTCACCTCCCTCCCCCACCTGTCCTGCTCATGTGCTCATATTCCCGACTCCCCCCCAATTCCCCGACCGAAACGGACGTGGTTTTCCAAAAAACCACGTGCCTGCCGAAACAGACGTGGTTTTCAGCATTTTGACGTCTCAAAGTGTCAACAACCACGTCCGTTTGGCCACCTCCCCCACACCTGTCCTGCTCACCCAATTCCCCGACCGAAACGGACGTGGTCTAAATAAGGATTGGGACCTTGAATGGTAAGGATTGGGACCCCCAATGGCATGTCTAAATACGGATTGGGACCCCCAATGAAATGGATTGGGACCCCCAATGGCATGTCAAGGATTGGGACCCGCAATGGTAAGGATTGGGACCCCCAAATGGCATGTCTAAATAAGGATTGGGACCATGTCTATAAATAAGGATTGGGACCCCTGATGGCATCCCCAATGGCACGTCCAAATAAGGATTGGGACCCCCCGATGGCATCATCCCCAATGGCAGGTGTAAAAATAAATAAGGATTGGGACCCCCGATGGCATCCTTAATGGCATGCGTAAATAAGGATTGGAATTAGTCGCCCCTAGTCTTTTGTTTGTTGTGGATTTTGTGTATTTAAGTGTGGCTTCTTTGTCTTCTGTTGTGGAGAGGCAGCTTCCTTAAGTCCAGAGAAACTGCAACTTTCGCGCGCGCAACCGCACACTTGCAGAGCTGTGCATAGCATTCGCCAACCATCAGGTGCGCACCAAAGCAAGATGTCAGTAGCCATACTCAGAAGGTATATTTATCTTCTTCAAGCCCAAGTTCAGCATGCTGACAAAATATTAAACTCGGAGCGCCTCCTCCCCTCAGACCAAATAACTCTCAGGCAAGCATTTTTGCAGCGTGACACATACTATGGGATACGTGTACTCAGCAGATCTGGTGGACATTTGGTGGAATTTTAGGACCTTTGTACAGAACAGCGCGACGCCTCTCTGGAATGGTACATTATGGTACTAGTACAAGCGCCGCTTGACCTCCAACGAACATGATGTACCTGCCTTTGCACACCATTGACAATGTTGCCGTTCTGCTGGCTTTCTCTCCAGAAGGGTTGATGTCCTGTACCCCTGAAGGTATATAGGTGGCATATAGCCAAAACAAAAAACCGATTACGCCTTCTCCGGAATTGGGGTACCACCCGCAGGGAACCCCGAAATTCCCTCGAAGTCCGCACCCGGCCCGAGCGCCTGTGAGGACTCGGGCAAAGGCCGAATGCCAATCCAGGCAGCTTGTCGGGGAGCGGGCGAGACAAGGTCAAGGGGGCCATGCATACGAGTCTAGAAAACGGTTTGGACGTGAGTGTTGTGGAACCGCCCTTGTTTGTACAAGAGTGCTAAAAGACTTCCAAAAAAGAGCCTACAGGGGAAGAACAGGTGAAATCCACAAGAAGCGTATCCAAACCGTTTTCTAGAACGATGTTTTCCTCTGGCACATATTGAAAGTACAAGGCCTGGGTATGCGCTGAAAGCGGCAAAACGTAGCCAGTCTGTTTCGGATTGTCCCGTGCAAAGAAAGTTGAACAACTGGCCAAAAACAGCAAGACTTTACCACACACACACACAGTGATACCGTCTAGGTCACAAAATGGAGGTTGCGACGCAAGCTGTCGCTGCCAATTCGGCGCACACCTGTGACTCCTCTTCCTCATCTTCTTCAGACTCACCTGCAGAAATCACGACAAAAAACCAGGAACCACCCATTCGGCACACTTGAAACGCCTCGAAGGGGGAACAACATCCAGCAGGCCAATTCCTGGATGTCACTGGCCTTGCTTTGGGCGGGACAACAGAGCGCCAGACTTTGAGATCAAACCACTCAACACGCTCAGGTCATGAAAGCCACCTTTGTTTTCAGGCACCCGCCAAGAAAAGAAAGGACCTTCCATTCCATGAGGTGCGAGTTTCCTTTGGCTTGGTCCAGAAATTTGACATTTGACTCGGCGCGACGGGTCACGGTCTCTCGCCTGCCGAGCTCTGGCCTGCCAGCTGCACGGGCCGCCTGACTTGTTTTGGCGCCGGGAGCTTCTGATCCGGAGCAATCCTCCCAAAGCATGCAGGAACCACATGGCTGTGGGTCAAAAATAGGTACCGCAAATGGAACCCTGGTAAGTGGAAACATGGGGTCCCCCGGTGGTTTCATTTTGACCTACCCACATGTCTCCAGGCAAAAAATGCGGCCAACACAACACCAACACCAACACCAGCACTGGAATACAAGAATCATCATCCACCAGCAGATGAAGTGAAAAAATCCTCGGGGCGCGCGCAGCTCAGTTTCGTTGGGACTCCAGCTGGAGCTCATGGCGGCTCCAACTTGTCCTGTCTAAACAGGGCCCAACAAGCAGAATCCCAGGAGAGAACCGGCTCATCGGGCCGGGTCTGGGGGGGGAGATGAACCCTCAAATTGTGTGTCCAGAGCCTTTGAAGGAACATTGTTGCAAGGGCAAAGTAGAAACTCTGCGTCCACATAGAAGTGAAGGCTGCAATGGGTGAACCGGTTTGTAAACCATCTCCCGAGTCCCCTCTGGCCTGTCTATGCCCTTCCAGGAACATTTGAACCTCGCGAGACATGCACGGGCCCTGCTTCGAGCCTGCGATCCAGAAAGCGACAGAAAGCTTAACCGGAAAGGCACGGGGCATGCGGAATCCACCAGTGCCATTGCAAAAAAAGAAAGAAAGGCCGCGACGAGCTGAGTTCGGCACGTGCCGGCTCTGGAACTGCGGGCCAGCGCGGAACCACTCAAATCTCGCCCAACTCAGTCGTTTGCCAATGTCGGACGTCCAAATTCATGACCTGTCCAATGAGTTGCTTTCACCCTGTGTCCCTTTCATCTATTAAGAGAAGTCTCAACCCCAACAAATCCAGCTAACGAACCGATGAGCCAATCAATCCACGAATCAGCCAATCAACATATCCTTGCCTCTGGGGTCTGCTCATGGGTCTGGTGGCTCTGCTCCCGGCCGAACTTGCCCGGCTCTGCCTGCGGGTTCAAATGAGCCTGTTGGCCCGCAACATGGCTTTGGGTTTCCCTTTAAAGCAACCAAAGGCGCACCCACCCAATCTAGCAGGCCTGAAATCAGAAAAGGAAGCCTGGACATTCCTGCAAAATACAGGGACACGTGACCCCCGTCCACACTCGCCACACAGTCTTCCACTTTGCAGAGGGGACAAACCTCAACAATCATACGGCATTTCTTGCGGCATGCTGTTCTTCACAGCTGTTTCTCCCTCTTGTTAACAAAAACGCGGAGCTATTCGGCCTCTTAAAACTTAATCTGAACCCCAGTTTAGCATGCAGTTATTCGGTGCATAGGCCCGAAAAGTGCCAGTGACGGGCAGAATGCGCGTCAGGGAATGGAGGATGTCCCAGGAGTTTTATGTACTGTTTATAGCGGCTGGGATATCTTCGTTTCACTTGGATATTCATTGCGATGCCTGTTGTACTGCTGTAAAGGTTGGGGAATGCTTGGGGTGGAAGAAAGTTTGATTGTGGCCCTGGTGGGGCATTCTTTGTGTCAGCTCAAGTGGCTGAATGATTAGGTGATATGCAGCTGACTCGCGCTCGACATGAATTCAGTTGTTAGCAAGGAGGACGCGTGGAATATTCACGGCCCATGGTCCTCTGCCGCGTCAACAGCACAGCGTTGATATATGGTGGTCCAGGCTTGTCTTTGTCTATATATATATATATGTGTGTGTCCCCATCAAAATTACCCATCTGGGGTGTATTCATTCCGAGGTTAGGATGTCCCGTATCTTCTTTGCAACTTGTTGTTTTTCAGGTTTGGCAGGTTTGGGGGTATCGTTGTTTTGGACGTCCCGTATCGGTGGAGGGGAAAAAAAAACATGTGCATGAAACGCTCCCGCATAAAGTAAATGACGACATCTTGTTCAAGCTGACTCATGTGTACATATATATATATATGCGTATGTGAGCATGTGTTTATTCAATCGGGATGCATAGTTCGCTTTGGTTGCAGAATTGCTTCTCCGGAACAGAAGATGTTCACAGAGACTTCAAGCCATGTGATCTGTCATGACGAGTTGAGTTGGATGGCACAACCACAAAGCAAGTGCCCTCACGAACAGAACGAACCGCTAACCAAAAAAAAAAGGAGTTGCCTGCTCAGTGGAGAGCTCGCCCGGCTGTGCCTTGGAGAGAGAGGATTCGGTTTGCCAGTCCGTGAGTCCGCCTGGGGGAAAAAACCCTTCACACATTGCTGACCTTTGCGTGGCCTGGCACTTCTCGGGCCGGGTTTGTCGCCAGAATTGAGTTGCAAGTGTTGGGCTGCAAGACATGTAGGACCCACCTCCCACCCCCCGCAAGAAAGAAAAGCTCTTTTCTCCTTGGTTCACTTTGAAGCCACCCAACAAGGGTGCCCTCAGAAAGACCTACCCGTTTGGAAAGGCCAAAAGTTGCTTCGCACTTCCCGCCTGCTTGCTGTGCCGTCAGGGGAGCTCTGGCGGCTATGTCTGCGAAGATGCGACTTGCTTCGGGCTCGAGTGAGCAACATGGGAGTGTCCCAAAGGGGGACCCCCGTCCCCCCTTTTGGACGACTTTAAAGGGGAACCTGATCACCTGGCCACGAGCAGAACATGTCTCAGGTTGGCCTCACATCTTTTCACCGCTCACATGTCCATCGGAAAACTCTGTCCTCTCCAGAAGGCGCGCTGCCTGACAGGTTCGGGAGAGAGGGGAAGCTACGGCACCTTGTCCTCTCTCTATCTCTGGGTATGATTTCTAAGGGGGAACCTTGTGGTGGACATCATTTAGGCGTCTCTTTCTCGCTTTCGACAGAGCACGGGAAGCTGTGACCCCCCTCTCGCGCAGCACATCTCTCTGCCTCCTCTGCCTCGTCGCGAACCTCGCACACCGGCTCCAGCACGGCATGGATGCGCTGGCCATCGATTGCAGAGAGGGAAGAGCTCAATACACGCCACACAAGGGGTGGTCTCAACACGGGGAAAAAGGTCTCAGAATGGGTATTACCCGAAAGAAAGGCACACAATTCGTCTTAAGATACACAAAGTGTCTGGGGAACCAAGCATCAAGAACCCAACAGGAATGCATCGCGCACACTTGCGGAAGGACCCAGAAAGGCTTGCCCGGCGCAAGTGCTTGGTCAGTAACTGCAAATCATCCGCAAAGCAAAAGCCTAGCTCCCGTCAAACAGTTAGCCAGCATCTCACTTCAGCTTTTCTCCAGTGAGTTCCGATCTTGCGCGACCAATGGAGGGAGCACCAAGCTTTCTGAAGAGGTAAGGGCAAGCGCAGGACTTGCGCTCCACACATTTCAAACATGGAGATGTGGGTGTGGCTCAAAATTAAACAGGAGGGGTTACGCAGTTTTTGGTCCATTTTTCCACTTAACAGGGTTCCATTTTGGTACCAGTTTTTTGACCCACAGCCATGTGGTGGAGACCTGCGACCATGGCTGAGCATCGCCCAGCATCGCATCGCCCGAACCAATTCGCGAACACTCTGATTCCTGTAGGTCCCCGATTCCTACCCTGGCTGTCCCATGCTAGAGGAACACGCGGCTTTGCGGCTTCCTTTTCGTTTCCCTCCGCCGACCAGCTTCATAACTGCGGTGCTGGAACGCATGCCCTGACACTTGTTTTGGCTGATGCTGATGCAACCATTCAATTTTTGGAAGCCCGAGCTGCAGGAAACCACCTGCGTAACACTCCAACGTCTGTCCCCCTAGTTGGTGGTTTGAATTTGTGGTTTGGTGGTCTTCCGGAGTGTCCCATTCTCCCCACAACCAGGGACCCCATTCAAGTCCGAATCGTCAATTCGCCTCCTGCGTGTAGCCGAAACCTGAGAGCACCAGGCCGCGGCCTCAGCGACTCCCTCAACCAACCTCCTAGGGGACCTCCAAAGAAAACACGGCAGTCTGTTGGAGTACCCAAACGGGCCTGACTTATGGAAAAGCGTGAACCTGCATGGCGCGCGCGGGAGGAAAAGAAAAAAGGAGCTGTGCAAAGCCAAACTGGAAGAGGGCATCCTTTTGATGTTCGCTTTGAAGGGAAACCAATGGGAAAACACCTTCCCCACGAGAGACAACGGTTTGTTGTGAACCTCTGGGGCAGCCGTAGACATAATTGTTTAAAAGCAAAAAGAAAGCGGGGCGGCCGGCCGGATTCCAGGATAGATGGTTCAAGTGGAAGGTGGCGCCGCAGTTCACGAGCTAGCTCAAAATCAACAAGACTGTGCCCGGATTCGACGACATATGCCCCCGGGCAGGGCAAGCTCCGCCTGGTGGCCTGACTGGCTTCCAGCGGCGGCAACGGCTGCCTGGGCCATGGCGCGATGGGCCAAGGCATGTTGCGCCGCTTGGCCCTGGCCCCTGAGCAACCCGTTCGGATGCATAAGCCAGGCCTGACACAAGGCCTGCTGCAATCCGCTGCCTGCAGGTCAAGGCGGGGGAAGGCCAGTGGGATTAAGAGCTGAAGCTTCGCTTGAGCGATGCCAAGAGCCCGGTGAAGATCATGCGGAGTGAGACAACAAATGTCCGTCTCTTTTGAGTGTCCAAGCAAAACTCAGATCAGATCGACACGCTCGCACCGCGTCCACGAGCAATCGTCGCAGCCGCGCTTCGAGCCTGGGGTGGCAAGGTCGAAACCATAGGTTTGCCGCCAATGGGCACCTCCAAAATAGGCTTCATATTTTTTTCTTGCAGCGGTTTCCCTTTCAAACGACCAAAGAAACCATGCCAACAGGACATCCTTCCCAAGAACACCAGGTGTGCCGGAGCTCGCCAAGCCTGAGCTAGGCCTATCTGGACATGGCAGAAGACTCATATCCATTTCTGTGGCTATGGCTTCAGATTTATGCGATGGGTCCAACTGCCGAAAGAGGAAGTGAAAGCTCCACTTTCGACTGAACCCATTCATCACCGGGGTGGTCGAAATTTTGAGGGTGCCTTTTGCTGAAGGTGCCCTTTTTGGTCATCTGAAGGGAGAAACGCCAGGAAAACTCAGCTTTTGTGTGAGGTCTAAAGAAAGACGCGCCCGTTTAGGGGGCCCTTCCTGCTACTCAGAGATAGATCCCCGAAACCGGTACTCTCAGCTTGCTTTCGTGTTCCCACGTCCACTCGGGAACCCGGCTCTTGTTGCCATTGCAAAGAATGGTACACCCCCAAAGTTCCGGAGAGTTGATAAAACCGCCACCTTTCCAGAAAAAAACAAAGGACTGAGGAAGGCGGAGAACTTGAGCTCCAATTCTCCGATTTGCGTGTGGGCTTTTTTTGTGCTTCCAGCTTCCCTGCTCTCCAAAAAAAAACGGCGAAAGGCGCGACCCCCAGCCATCGGAATGCAGAGCGACAGCTGCGCCAGCTGCGGCTCCTTTGGCAGCGCGTTGGACGGCAGCGTCAGCACCTGACACCCAGCCGAGCGCCGACGAGCCGACGGCTCCACGGTGGTTTTGGCGATGTTCCGGGCTGGTTTCTTCTGGAACCCAACCAGGGACCCCTGCAAGTCTGACTCCAAGCCTCTTCAGGGTCTGAATGACTTGATCCTAGGGTACCGAGCCTCAACAGATTGGGCCAAGCTGGTACTCTATCGAGTGAAGCCCGACCCATGGAACTCTTGCCCTGAGAAAAAAGAAAGAGCCGCGCCTTCTTGCCATCCCCGGCTTTCTCACCTGTCATGGCTTTTCAGCTTGACTCTTCAGTGTTCCAGCATTCCAGACATGGGAACAGTTTGTCTGGCTCTTTCTGTCACGCTCATTCAGCCTCCATGCTGACGCCCTTGTGGCTAACCTCTCAGAGTTGGTGGCTCACCCGCCTGATCGGAGCGCCCAAATGGCCTGCGCAGATTGGAGCGACTTGGCCCTGGATTCCGCCAACTGCAACCCTGAAACGACCCCGCAGGCTGAACGTGTTCCTTGCGCACGCCAGGCTTAAACCGGAACCCAAGGGCTGATCCGAACCTATCTCACCGATGGCCTCTATACCCGGCGCCATGGCCTTCGAGTCAGGATGCTTCCCATGCTAAGCTGCCAGGCTCTCAAGGATCGCCCTGATAGCGTCAGTCAGTGAGCTGTCAGTCCTGTGAAAGCAAACGCTGGGAGCTCCATGTCTTTCGGTCATGTCTCGCCGACGGTACCTTTGACCGTCCCTCCGAAAGGCAGCGGGAGATGGGGGCGGACTCATGCAACAAGGGAAGAAGCTTGCTGGCTCACACTGACCTGCTTTGCGCGGCAGTCCGGGGCTGCATCAAGCGTGTTCCCTTCGAAGGAGTTGGTATCTCACAGAAATCGAGCACCAAAGCGACTGGCAAAAGGTGGAATTGCCGGGAATCAAATCAACAGGGCAAAATGTCATCATCCATTAGAGTGGGGAGACATCGGGGTGCTGACGTGCCAACTGAAATTGAGGATCAGTACGAGCCATTCTAAAATCTTTAGGTGGGTGTCCTTTGACCCTAATTTCCCCGTCTTCGACTCACCTTGTAAACCCTTGCCAACGTCGGAAAGTGAGTCCCCTTAAAACTGCCCTATGGAACTCACCCAAAAATGCCAGAGATCAGCCCCCCACCAGTAACGTCCAGGACAGACCTCAAGAACTGGCATCTGCACTGCCCCTTTCAAACTCGCTGCCTTCTGGTGAGACGTTAATATGCCGTGGTCAAAACACGTTGCGCGGATGGTGGCTCAAACCTTCGAAGGTTGGTGACCAAGCCACAAGTACCTCGCGTTTTGACCATGACCTAATGTATCACGCGTCGAGCTTCCAATCTGCTAGTTCTTTGCAAAGCAGCCCTACAGACACCCCGACAAAAAAGCTAGTAACAGAGGATAGCCCACTCTCGTGCATGCAGACGGTGATGTGGCGCTCCAAAACGAATCGAAGGTTCTTGTGATCTCCAAAATTAGAATCTGATCAGTGGCGCCGATGCTAGTTCTCTTTTCCGACAACAGCGAACAAACAAGCATGCATTGAAAGGCCTTTACCTCAACTCCTCACCAAATGGCTGATTTTGCCGAGCAAGTCCGAGGCCCACAAAAGGTAAGACAGGTGGACCTCCTCCCGCTCATGTCAAGCGGCAGCCCGGGATACGTGTGCCCAAGCTCACCTCGTGCATTTGCCGGCAACCTCCACAGCCAGGGTTCCTGACAAGCACCAGGGCAACCGGTTTCCGCAACTTGGAAACCAAAAAGGAAACCACCCATTCTTGGCCTCTCGAAGCATCGCTAGCCAAACCCAGTTGTCCAGTTTCTGGTCGCTCGAACAGCGCCGGCCGGATTTGCCATGCGTGCAGCCAGCTCAGTCAGGACCGCGGCAGTCCCAAAAGCAGCACGACTGCCCGACCTGAGCATCTGAGACGGGAGGGCTCGCGCAGCTCGGGGACTCGAGAATCGGGCGCACTTCATCCAGGCAGATTACTTGAACAATTTCAAGCCTCACATGGCCATGGGTCAAAATCCAAATCGTACCCCCAGTGAACATCCCAATCCCCACTACAATAGACGAAAATGGTGGTGCACCAACCCCAAAATGGTACCATTGGTCTTGACCCACAGCCACATAAAAAATATCCAAGGGACCATGGAGCTCGTGCTAGCCTTTGAGCTATAGACTGGCGCGGCATGGGAACTAGATGAACTGACTCAAGGCAATCTGCTTGCACCCAATGGCGTTTTGGGACGGAGGGGGTGCGGTGGGCCGTCCGCGCAAGGTGCAATCACTTGATCCATCTGAGGCACAAGTTCTAGTTCTTGGATCTCGTGACATTGAATCCGTGCTCTTAGATCCCGAGGACCTATCGCATATTTGAACGTATCTTCTCATTTGTCCCGTTTCGCAGGCCCGCAGGCCCCGCCTCGTGTGATTCGGCCTCGATGGCGATGTCCAGAGGCGGTCTCTTCGGGGAAAGCGCCTTCATAAACTCAGCCCTCGGCGCAGAGGCGAGGGATGCCCCGAAGCATGCGGATGGGGGTTCGCGAGAGATGCCCTCTCTCCACATGGAACCCACCAGAGTGCCCTTTAAAGGGAAGAAATATGTTTCCAGGACCTCTCAGTCGAGCTCCATGGTGGACAGGAGGGTAAATTCACAAGCCAGGATGGTGCCAAGCCAATCCACAGCTTTTGACCAATCTCGATTCAATCCGGTCTCGCTGCAGCAATCCAATGATGTCAATGCGGGAACCCTTCTTGCCTCGTTGCAAATGGAATGCTGACAGCGATTTGAGTCAAGGACTGGTCATGCATCAGCACGGGGTGTGGCCTCACAGAAGGAGGAAAACAACAGCGCGGCAAATTTGTCCATCAACACATCTACTGAGGTGTGTGCTCGTCTGTATTGTGGTCACTTCTCTGCATGCAACGAGATAAGGAACAAGAGCGACTGCGGCGCACGCTAGCTGCTTGCTGGTTCCTAACAGTTCTCGTGCTTTCGACAAATCCACCGAGTCTACTCACATGGATGATGCTCAGGAAAGAGGCACCCTATGGCTGGTCTTGTCAAGCTCAAGCAATGGTCCTGGACATGATTTGCAAAACCTCTACCCTTGGTTTAACTAAAATCATTACTTGGAGCGGTCCATATGTGTGGAGACGCTTGGAGCTCAAAATGCTGCCTTCCTTTCGCGCCTCAGAACCTGGACCGGCCGTGCCATCGCTATGATGGTGGAATCCGTGCGCTGCACCGCATTGTCAGGACGAACCTGACGCGCATGCCCGGGAGCTTGAGAACTTGAGTGAGGTCCCACTCAGCATCAGCATCAGCCTCCTCATCAGCCTCCTCATCATCCTCCTCATCATCCTCCTCATCGTCATCCTCATCCTCATCCTCATCCTCATCATCATCATCATCATGATCATCATCATCATCATCATCATGATCATGATCATCATCATCATCATCATCATGATCATGATCATGATCATGATCATGATCATCATCATCATCATCATCATCATCATCCTCATCATCATCATCCTCCTCATCATCCTCCTCATCATCCTGATCCTCATCCTCATCCTCATCATCATCATCATCATGATCATCATCATCATCATCATCATCATCATCATCATCATCATCATCATCATCATCATCATCATCATCATCCTCATCCTCATCATCATCATCCTCCTCATCATCCTCCTCATCATCCTCCTCATCGTCATCCTCATCCTCATCATCATCCTCATCCTCCTCATCCTCATCATCATCATGATCATCATCATCATGATCATGATCATGATCATGATCATCATCATCATCATCATCATCATCATCATCATCATCATCATCATCCTCATCATCATCATCCTCATCATCCTCCTCATCATCCTCCTCATCGTCGTCCTCATCCTCATCCTCATCCTCATTGTCATCCTCATCATCATCCTCATCATCATCCTCATCCTCATCCTCATCCTCATCCTCATCCTCATCATCATCATGATCATCATCATCATCATCCTCCTCCTCATCCTCCTCATCATCCTCCTCATCATCCTCCTCATCATCCTCCTCATCGTCATCCTCATCCTCATCCTCATCCTCATCCTCATCCTCATCATGATCATGATCATCATGATCATGATCATCATCATCATCATCATGATCATGATCATGATCATGATCATCATCATCATCATCATCCTCCTCATCATCCTCATCATCCTCCTCATCGTCATCCTCATCCTCATCCTCATCCTCATCCTCATCCTCATCATCATCATCATGATCATCATCATCATCATCATCATATCTCTCAGCCCACAAATTGCAGCCACTAGAAATATTTCGTCCACTTTCATATCCGTCTGAGAGTTCCCCCAAAACACCGTGAACAAATGCCCTGATAAAACTCGCCGCAAACCACGACTCATCCCTCTTTGCATCCTGAGGTGGACACCAAAGTAATCCACACGGCCTGCATGCATGCAGATGATGATGATGATGATGATGATGATGATGATGATGATGATGATGATGATGATGATGTTAATGATGGGGCACCCCATTTCGGAGGAAAATCTGCATCTCCACGTGCATTGTCTGGGTTCTGGACCCGCCCGCCCATCGATATGATGGTGGAATCCGTGCGCTGCACCGCATTCTCAGGCCGAACCTAGGGGACGTACAGCTCCAGAACGGAAGTGAGTCCCCAATCGTGAACTCTACGCGACATTTCAGCAGCTCTGTGCTATGAACACGATTCTTTCAATGATCTTCTTCGGCAGCCTTGTGCCAACGCCAAACTCCTAAACCATTGCAAGTCCAGAACGCAACACGCTTGCGTACAAGGAAAATGTCATGCCGGTGGTCGGTGGCGGTGGGTTTGGGCTGGCCCTGGCACGTGTCCAAACGAAACAAGAACCATTCTAAATCGCACTCAAAACATGTCGGCAATGAAAGGATGAAAAATGAGCATGGCACACTATATCTATATATACATATTTATATATATATATACATATATATATGTAAGATCCTGCGACGAAATGATTGACATCAAATCCCGATGTTGCTCTACGACTGGTTCCTTCGCATGTTCAGCACCTCTGAACCATCGCATCTAACACCAACCCGCATGGCTATGCACTGGTGATCTCAGGCACCGGCCAGCGCCCCCTGGCATCTCTTGCACCAGATGGCACCAAGACAAAAGAAGAGAAGTGTCGGTTCCCCCCCCCCCCCCACCACCACAAAAAAATGAAAATAAACTCATGCCCAATTCCCTAAAAAAACAAAAACAAAACAATAAACAAATGCCCAAGACTGATCCAACGGCAAGAAAAAAAAGAAGGCCTCTCAAAGACCTGCAGGCATTGCTTCACTCCATTGACATGTCAGGCCTGTGCCATGGTACTGGGCGCCGCCACGGAGCCCTCGAATCCGAGCAAGCGCTTCGGTGCGGAATTCCGAGCAAAACAACCAAACGTCGCCTCTTTTTACCGATTTGTGGTCGCCTTCAAACAAGAACAACCGCCAAGTTTGGAAGTCCCCCCCCCCATGCGGGATTCGGGCTTTGCTTGACGCCCCATGCTTACATCCACCCTCCTCCCACAAACCTGCCCGAGTGAAACCATCCCAAAGCTTGTCCCGGGTCAGCTTAACTCACGCCAAGGCGCCTTAAAGTGAGCCAAAGGGCTATCCCCAACTGGCCCGAACCTCACTGCAACCTGGAACCCTCCAAGAACCACTCTTTTGCTCTTACATGTCAGCGTGAACAGAAGCATCGAGGTGATCGGTCAGGTTCCATCAGACAACGCCCTTAAGCTGAACCTCCCTAAGCTGGAAGAAAGCGAACGGATCTACGCCCGTGCCTGAGCGGAAGCAAGGCCCGCCTGTGCAAGGGGCCATTCAATCGGAGCCCTAGACCCCGACTTCTGGATTCCTGGACATGGGCTTGCTACTTGGCACATGAACCCCCCCTCAAAAAGAAATAGTCCAAAACAAATGGTGGCCCAAAAATAGTACCTGAACTCCCCGCAAAAGAAAAAAAAGAAGGAAAAAGGGGCGCCCATCCAATGCTTGGGTTCGGTGTCAAGGGTACCTCGCCTGCACGGGACGAAGTGGCGTGTAGAGGGCCGAGGTCATGCGCACCACCTGAGCCGTCTTTGACAGGCCCAAAGCCCAAGCGCCCCCTCGCGCACTCCCGCGCACTTCGCCCGCGCACTCCGCCCACTTCGCGCACTTCGCACTTGAGACGGGGATTCATGCAAGCTTTCTCAGGATTGGCGCAATCGGCAGCCTCCAGGAAACGTGCATATCGGTGTGTCCTAGAACAGCTGTTTCGCGGGGGACCTATTTTCACACACCCAATGTAACGTTGACCTATCCTCTGAATGATGTCCAGCTACCGACCTGGACATGTTCAGCTTGTTGTAGCACAGAGAAACCCTCTTCATTGACTGTGGCCCAAATTGATTGCACCGCTCACAACTTCATGTCTTGCTGCATGCCCTGCACGCGTCATACGATACAGAGTAGCGCGATGTCCTTCACACCAAACATCATTTTGTTCTCCTTTGGCTCATTCCTTACTTGCCGAATACTACTTATGTGCCGAATAGATCATCGCAAAATAGCGTAGGCCCTATCGGAATTCAGGGTTTTGAACAAATCATTCAAGGGTCCGTAGACACGTTTGGTGTCTCAGAACACCTAGAATTTCGAAGCTGAATGCTGTAGATGCAGACCTTGTGGGCCGACAGCCAGCTCTCTTTGAAGCTTGTGAGGCAGGGCCATTGAGCAATGCCCTCGGCTTTTCACTACGACTTCCACAACTCCAACCCAAACGTCGCAACCTTCATTCCAACACTCGCCAACTCTCACTCCGCAGCTCCAGCTCGAATATCGCAACTTGTAAGGACGCATGCAGCGCACGAAGTGCCAAATCTGTGCGCAAGGTCTTGCTGCGAGCTCTCGTCATAGACGTGGCAGCAAGAAGGTTTTCGCAGCAGCAAGGACAATCTGATGCAGCAATGGGTGCACCGAGCAGCTCTGGCGGGATACTCGGCGGGATCCACTGGCGGGATACTCGGCGGGATCCACTGGCGAGCTGCTCTGGCGGGATACTCGGCGGGATCCACTGGCGAGCTGCTCTGGCGGGATACTGGGTGGGGGCGTGGTGTAGAAGCATCGCAAACGCGAATTCCAACATAAAATCTAACAACTCCTTCCTGTCGGGTGGGGAAAAAACAAACACACACACACACACACACAGATATGCGCACGCCGATATCCGCCTTGTGCCGCTCTGGGCCAAAGCCCTCCCGCTGCAGATGTTGCGCTCCACGCACGGAGGGCGCCTGCAGGCGCTTCGAGGCAGGATGGCGACGGCTGGGTCCATAACGCACCAGTGCCGAAACCTTTGTGCATGATCTTTCCTATACGTGCACACACGCACACACTGAGACGACACACATACATTATATATGTTCTGTATATCATGTGGCCAGAAAACATGACTTAGCGATGACCACACCTCAGCCTGGGCTTTCGAAAAGCTCTGCTCATTTGCGAGTTTCCCAAATGGAGGACCCCTACAATGGGTCTTTCCCAGCATTCCCTGGCGCGGGGAACTTGCTTGCTGAGAATTCGCGTCCCCCCCTCCATCTGGCTGGCTTTGCGTTGAGCTCAGGGGACAGCCTGGTGCCTTTCCTGCAGTGGCATGCCTTGAGGTGTTTCCTGAAGAATGGGGATCTGTTTCTGAATGGCCTTAAAAGGGACGCCCTCTTAAAAAACTCAACTTCTGATGTACTGCGAGCAGAATTTGGAGCCGCTCTACATCTATCCGCGTATCCGCACAAATGGCTCAGAATGATCAACAACACACATGGGTTGGTCTCAAACTAGTGGTGCCCTTTCAATGGTTCCCTCTAAACCAACCCCATTTTGGGCTCCTATTGACAACATGCATAGCACGCAAAAGGCAAGCTCACTATGGAGACCCACCATAATTCCTCGGGAAAAAAAGGGGACTGCATGGGACACGCCCACGCCTCAAACACTGGCTTCGCTTGTTGGAGAAGCATGCAGTCCCTGAAATGTCCCATGCCAAAGCCAACTCCCACAAGTGGATGTTGCCGGTATGGGCAATGGGCAAACAAATCGAAAGAAGGCCTTTAAACCAAACGAAAGATGCGCACACCTCATTCCCCACCCCACCTTTCCCCCCCACCCCCCCGTTCCAGCCTCTGGCGACACGTCCCGCATTGCGTGCCCATTCTGGATCGGATCGGGGGATCGGTTGGATCGGGAAATCGGGGGATCGGGGGATCGGGGGATCGGGGGATCGGGGGATCGGGGGATCGGGGGATCGGGGGATCGGGGGATCGGGGGATCGGGGGATCGGGGGAGCAACGTGGCCCAAGTTTTGGGGCCCGTGCCAAGGTCCAAGTAGTGTTCCACAAGTGTCGAAAGCGTCTGAGTGAGGCAACTTCACCTTTTCGGCCTGTGACTCAATGATACTTGAACATACTATCCAAAATCATGTGGAACGAAGAAAGAACCCATTTGTAGGGAATCTACTCTTGGCGGACCCCCCCCCTTTTTAGGGAAACCATGTGAACTTACAGGGTAGTCCTTGAAGCTGTCATGAAAGCTGGTTTCTACCTGCCAGCATACCTCATCGAGCCCGATAGGCCTGGAACAAGAAGTGCGATGATTCCTTCTAGAGCCCCTCTCCGCGATTTCAGGCGCATCCTTGAACAGGTCAGGCAGCAGCAGCCCCAAAACGCAACGCCCAGGCGGAAATATCCCACCGCATTCTGCTTCTGTTCAGCCCTCGCTTTCCGTCTTGCCCAACAAAGCCCCTCTCGCCTGGCTCCTTGAAGCGGACTGGGCCTGTCGATCGGCGAGATCCGTTTGCATCTCACAGGAGGCAAAGCAACCTTCATAACAAAAGCTTTGCCAAATTGGAGACCGGGGACAAACCAAACCACGAATGTGTCGTTTTCAGCTCAAGCTCTCATCTCGCCTCTAACAAGTCCTGTCAAAGCAGATTTCCATTCACAGGTGAGTGCTGAGCAAAAAAACAGGGACATCCCAGCGGGTTGAGTATCACTCTGCCCCGCCGCCCCCCCCCCTCCACTTGCACCCCCCAAAAACCCCCTGCCTCCCTCACGGCAGTGCTCATGGCCTGCTGCCTGGCCTACGTTTTGGCGATTCGGGCTTCTTTTCCGTTTTGGGGGTCCGAATCCTAATTGAGTCACAATCAAAACCCAGTATTAAAATGGTCTACCCAGAACCATGTAAAGAATTAAGCGGGCGGCCGCAGCTATTTAGGTTTGGGAGCATCCCTTGCTAACCTTCATCTACCCGGGTTTTCATTGTGGCTCAATTGAGGATAAGACCACTACGTACTCCAGAACGTAACAGGGGACTTGCAAAACATGTAGACAAAAGGCCATTGGGTTGAGAGAGGTGGCTCCAAAAGAAAAGCTCCAGCAAAGCTGCGTCAAGCGTTGCCGGCCGCAAGCACCAGGGCAACCAAAGCAACCAAAATTGCGTGAAGCCCAAGATCCTGAATCTGTCTTGTTTTGGAACAATAGATGGCGCTAAGGATACGAAACCAAAGAGAAGCCACTTATTTATTTTGGGGGAGTCCTCGAAAAAGGACCGACCCATCTGTTTTCAACAAGAACCCACAAGGACACCTATGCTCAAGCCCATCCTCACCTTCTGCTCGGCCCGTGCACTGTCCGACAGAAAGTTCTCCATCCTTGGCGCGCAAGTCTAAAGCCAGGTCCGATCTAAAACACACCTGGCCGTGGCTCAAAAAAATGCACCAAAACGGCACCTTGGTAAATGGAACCAAAGACTAAAACCTGCGTAACCCTAGCTCTTTAATTTTGAGCCACACCCACCTGTGTCAGAACCTTTTCATAGACCACACGATACAGTTTGCTGCTCTCAACACAACTCAGTAATTTGAGGGGCAAAACTCATAGACGCAGGGAGATCGCCTGTCAAGTTCCAACCCAACTCCTGCTGATTTTCGCTTCCAACCCCCGATGTCCACTCTCCATGCTCCAGCTGACAAACTCTTGGAAAGAAATGAAGGATCAAAACATCCGCTGCGAGCACGCCGAATGCTCCGCAAAACACCCACCAGCCGGAACATATCTGTTTTTTAGAGTTGGATTCATGGGAAACCAATAGGACACTGCCCATTTGAGGGAGTCCTGAATTTGGAGAAAACAAACCGATATAATTATGCAAATACACTGGAATACTGTATGCCGAGCATCTTGTTGGAGAAGAAGGATACCTGTTTGGAATCCATGCTGGCCAACAGATTGCTAAGCTGGTTCAACTGTCAGCGGATTTGCGCAGCGGCAGCTGGCTGCCTGTGGCTATTCTGGGTCTCTGCTTCTTGTCAGGGCTTTAACCAATTTGCTGGAGTCTGAAAGCCTGATGGGCCTGGAGTAAAGCGCAATTGGCTGAAGGAACGGCTAGCTTGGAGACCTCGCGCAACTCTGAATGTTGCCGTCTTGAGCCACAAATCAGCATGGCTGCAAACCCTGATGTGTGTATCTCGAGGAAACGTTCAGAACTTGACTCCGGGAAATGCCGTAGCCGCTATGAAATGCCGAAGCCTCCCGCAAAAGTCACCCTTGTAGACACCAAATGGGACTACCCACTATCTGATTTCTGAATTAAGGAGATTCCCTTGGTCACTCCGCTTTTCCTCTCGCAGGCGCTTCCGGCATTGGCATCCTTCCGCAAACGGAACGTGTGTTACCACAGGCACCGAACAGAGGAACACGGGCTCGAAAGGACCCAGCTGAGATTTGTGCAAGGCTTGGACTGAGGGATGCCTCGATGGTTGAACTGGAAAGCAAAACATGAAAATCTCTGACCAAGCCCAACGCATAGGCCGACCAGTTAAACCTATGATGTCAAGGCTGCATGGCTGCATGCGTTTGCGGGTTCTGACACCAGATTTGTGGCATGGACCTAAGCCAAACACGTGGGCAACTTATCCTAGAGACTCTCCTGGCCCCACGTCGGACCACCCAGGGTGCATGGCTGAGTCTCCAGACATCTCTGCCCATCGAATTACGTGCAGCGCGCACGCGCGAACCTGAGGAGCCGCAGATTCAGATGGGCTCTGAAGAAATCCTATTCAGAGGTGTAGATGTTCATCTAGGGCTCCCCAGGAAAGTATCACGTAGATTCCGTCCGGCCCAACACACAGGGCTCACGGCGCATCGCCAGCTTCCTGGCATCGAAGCTAGGGCTCCTGCCTCAGTGTCTTTGGTAGAACCCCCAGCAAGAAAAGGCTCAAAAGGCTTGGCCCTAGCCTCGCGGTGGACAAAGCAAGGCCAATCACAAGGCGTTTCAGTGTCTGAAGACCATCCAACATCTCAAGCTGCGTCCGTCGCCTGTGGAGCGGACTGCGTGTCAAAGAGCGCAAGAGCCTGCACGACAAAACTGCTAGCAAATGCACTCGCATGAAAACGCCGACCCTACGATTGCCTGCAACAGGATAACAGTTGCGTCAAGCAAGGAAATGCGTGTTGACAGAATATGGAAACCACATACAAGCTCAAAAGAAAGGACAATGACGCTTGCAAGGCCAATAATTTCCGATGAAACCAGGTATACATTATGTCAACGGTGCCGTTCAATGACACGGGCCGATGCAAGAAGCGTCAGCAGGGTGATTTCATGACATGACAAAGCTGGACTCTGTGGGATCATTCAGACTCTTTGCTGCCCTTCCAGTTTATTCATGTGCAAGATATATCCTTGCCATGTAGTCATAACAATTATATGCATACCTGGATCTTCTGAGGGTACGTAATTTCTGCCGTTTGGCCAAACTGCAGAAAATATCGCCGTTTCAAACCATTTCAGCCGTTTCAATCAAAACTTGCTGTTTTGCGAATCCCCTGCAGTTTCGTGCAATGTTGACAGAGCTGTTTTGCATCATTGCACCAATTTGGTGCGGACAAATGCGCCTGGAGGTGTGTGAAGGGTTTGGCAACTAAAATTCCCAGATTGCAAAGTCGCTTAAAAGCTTCGGATAGCAGGACAAACCCTGCTAATAGCAGAATTTATCGCATCCCTGAGCAAAGCCAGTAGCGTTGTTCAAGCACCTGCGCAAGATTTCGGTCTGAGCATACTGTCATTCGTATTTGTCAACGGTGGCGCCGAAGGGTCTGGAACCAACATCCTGAGAATTCCAGACTTGCGCGCGCAAAGCAACCCTGCAGCACATGCAACTGTTCGTTGCAAGTTGACGTGTCGAGCAGTGCTCACCCAGGAGGACATGCGAGCCCTGTAGCTTAAGCTCCTCACTTTTTTCGAGTTGCAGTCACCCCTCGCAACTTCTCAGCACAGCACGCCACCAACACGAATCACATCACCACTTGTTGGTTTCAGACAGCGCCAACATCAGCAAAGATACATTCAAGTTCAATTGCATTTAAGATGTTGCGGCAACTTACTCATATTCTTGTCAAACATGACTGCAGCCAGAATGATGACCGACAGTCATGTCCGAGGACAGCCCTTACAACAGCTTGCTTCCTGGGAGAGCCCATGTGATAGAGCAGTGTGTGAAGTGAACCGGCAAGCGCTATGAATGTGGTTCGCAAAAAATCGCCGTTTGGCCGCAAATTATCGCCGTTTGGCCGCAAATTATCGCCGTTTTGTTTTTGCAAATTTGGACGTAGTTGCCTGAATCTTTCTAAGGCAACACAACTCGGGCTCTTTCCTTCTAGGGCTGCGATGGCAGGCCCCGTTGCAATTCAGAAATTGACGCTTCCCAGGTGTGTGCAGCAGTAAACAAAGCCATCCAACAGCAATCTCACGGCCACTGCTGCAGTAGCAACTTATTTTTTTATGTGTTGGCGTGGTTCCCTCATAGTTCCTCGTTTCCCACGCGTCCAACCTTCTTGACTTGCATGCAAGCCAGCCTAAAGCGGATTGGCCTTCCATCCTAGAGCGCCGTTAACCACTATGCAAGTCTTGCACGTCTGAAGGTAGGAAGGCATTTCAAGCTAAACATGTGTTAAACATGCGCCAAGTTTTAGTCGCAAATAGTCTCAACAACTCAGCAAAGAACACTTGACATTGTGTGATTCCTGAAGCCATTAGAGATCTTACCACTCCCACTGTGAGTGTTGCTTGAAATGGCTATAACCTTCGCTGCGCAACCAGTTCATGACCCAGTTCTGCGCCTGCAACAAGTGGTTGGATGCTGTTCGCTGGCCCTCCAATACTCTCAGAAGCGTGATGAAGAAAAAAAAAGATCACTGCGGCGCTAGTGCTGCGAAGCCAAGTGCCTCACATTCGACCAGAACCAGCATACTGGCATGAGTTTCAAGCGCCACATGACCTCGAATATGCACCCTGATGCTGAAAACAGGAAAAGCGCAGTTTGCATCAAAATGCGCCGTCTCAACTTAAAACATGGTTGTGCCCGAAACTGCTGAAATTTTGCACCTCTTGGAAGATGCAGGTATTGTCATATATTCTCATCAGCTTGTGCCAACACATCATAAGCAATAGATTGAATCTGGTGACAAAACTGGTGACAAAACTTGCAAACATCCGTGTGCCTCGTGTATCATACCGCTCGAGAACGTGCTGTTGTTAAAGGGTTCATTGCATTCAAACAGGATTTTAGAAGCTTACTGCAACGAATTGACACGTAGCGCAGAACACATTTTGCAAAACACAAATCCCGGGTTGGGCAGTTGCTCATTGTGCAAACAAATTGCGCGGTCCAAATGTGCAACTCGCAGCCACAACATGTCTGGCACACGTAGCTGCTCTACCAGTCCATCATCAAAAGGACAGCAGCAAATGATAGCCCTAGGACCTATGACTCTGCAAGTTTTGTCATGCACCCAGTGGACTTGTGCTGGTGCTTGCATAAAAATGTATCCGATCAACATGGCTTTGCCACCTCCCAAGTCATGGACGACTCTTCTGGTTGCAAGGGGAATCATGTAGCTATGAGTCAAAACCCCGTACCTTCAGTGAATATCCAATCCCCACTAAAATACTAAAATGTGTGGTGCACCTACCCCAAGATGGTACCATGGGTTTTGACCCACGGCCATGTGAATCAACAAGGATACTGATCATGTGGAGCTTGCACACCCTTTGGGTCTCCACCTCCCGCACTACACAAACTTCACGTGTGGGCCTTGGCCGGCTGTGGGTGTCTCTATGTTCATACCCTCTTTTGGGGCTTTGGCTTGGAAAATGACCGCGAAACCGGCCCATGGAGTTCCTCGATTTTCGGTATCCCCTCAAAGGCATCCAAAGGGACCTATTTTCCCCACTGATTTGCCTCTCGGGGTGCTGCACCCGCGCTGAGTGCTGCCAAGGCCTCGAAGCGGCAGTCGGAGGCCGAGAAACAAATTCACAGGAAATCGCACAGAGAGCTTTCGGGCGAACTACTCAATGAGACAACATGATCACTTCTCCAGGATTGCGGCTCTGCAAACGTCAAAAACGAACCTGACTATGTCATAGCACTTCTCTTCTGTCACTCAATATGAACCGTGCGTGAAAAGCGCCAATGCAATATTCAGATTTCTGGTCGGTCTTTCCTAAGGAACCTTGCTTGGAACAACCAGCTTGGAGCAGCAGTTCCTGCCAAGCCTCAACTCGAAACCACAAATCAAGTATCCGGATGGATTCAAAGCCAAATAAAGTACCACGCAGTCCTATTCGCCCGGAAATGGTGCCCCCTTGATTTTTGCCAAGCGGGGCACGGGACTTCCCCTTCGCTCTTAGGTCCATGCAGCTGAAGAGGACCTGAGAGAGGCAAGCCCCGAGTGCAATTTGGCCATGTTTGAGGGTATCCGGGGGGAAGAAAAAAGGAATCAATAACAGGGGAAAAAACACCGGGGACAAAAAATGGCCCTCATCATTTTGAGAAAGGCCCAGACGTATGGAGAAGCATACCTCATCTCTGGGTCAAACTTCATCCCTCAGCAGCCTGGACTCAGGCACACGCGCGGCTTCAGGCCTGGGGCAGGTCTCTCGGATTGCTCAGGTAATTGCTGCGGGTTTTGAGCGCTATGAATTTCCTCTTGCCATCTGAAGGGAAAACTCGTTCACAGTTTGTTGTTGCAGTTCGTTCGGCGTTTCAACGCTTTCCAGTGGGTCCTTCTGTCCCTGACGAAGAAATGTGGTGCATGAGCCTTTGGAGCCGGATGAGTTGCTCTCTCAGAGGCTTGCTGTCGCGGCGAGTGTCGTGGGAAACTGGCTGCCCCAAAAACTGGAAAAGTGGGTTCTCAAAATACATGGCAAAACCCAGCGGGTCGGAAGTCCGGGGCCTTTTAGTAGCCCAGCAACTGGTTGCGAACTTTCATTTACTTCCCTGCACATTGACATGGGTCCATTCTCCCAAGGGTTTTCCGTTCCTCTGGCCGGACATTTCCTTCCTTCCTCACTTGCCCAAAGGACCTGGAAGTAAAAAAACGTCCACCTCTTGCAAGAAAAAAAAGGAAAACGCCAAATCTTTACGTCGCTTCAGGTCGCTTCCCCTTTCCCTCCAAGCGCTTGGCTTTGGCGGGGTGCGCGCCACCAGGCGCGCCTCCTCCAACTCCACCCACTGCCTGCGCGGGAAGCTCTCACTAAACAAGCCGGGTGATGTGGCTGCGGCTTACAAAGATGTGCCAAAATGGCACCCTTGTAAATTGAACCAAAGACCAAGAACTGCGTAATTAACGCTGGCTCTTTAATTTTGAGCCATGTATATTTGGCGTGGTTGCCTCACCATCTGCAACTAATTGATGCAAATCTAGGTTCGACAAACAGGCCACCCTTGACTTGTTGACCTTGTCTTCCGAACTCCTGCGAAACCTTTGATTTTCTCATCCTTGCTCAACCGACGCATGGATCAACCACCTCGAAGTCAGTGGTTGCCATGTCTTTTTCGGCCAATTCTCTGTTCGCGGGGAGATTGCGCACATCTCTCCCATACCGAAGGGCCGCACCTCAAATAGTCCAAGCTCTCGGCCTCCGACGGAGCCGGCGCCTGGCCGGATTCCGGATTCGGCGCGGCGCTTGCCGTCGGCAACGCAAAGCTATCAAAAAGACGAAGGCAAAGGCAACGAGACCTGGGCAGACCCCTACAAGAGTTGGCATGTCTCGTTTTTCTGAGCCTGAAGCAACGGAATCCTGGAAATCAATGCGCTCAAGGCCCCCTTTCAGGATTTGACCATCACCGCCACGTCAGGCCCGTTTTGAATCCATGTGCCTGCACCGGCGCCTGTCGCGCCCCGTCAGTCTCAGCCTGGACAGGGTTTCCACCTTTTACCCAAACCAATGAGAATTTAACTCAACATTAGGGACTCTCCAGTTGGCCGGATTCCTTTCGGGCTTGGCTTGAAAAATCGTCCCAACAGGGGTTCCCGATTTCGAGACACCCAAATCTTGCGAGTTTGTGGTCTTTAAAGCT